TGTTGCTAACCAGTGATAAAATTTGCTAATCTAGTGTTTTTTGTGATTCGTCTCTTAGGAATACATAATATTTTGTTCACTTATAGTGATGTCAGTCTCTACGGTAGATTTAATTTTGACTCTTGACTGTATTCTCCGTATCAAATCACTTCCTGTGTAAAATAAAATGTTAAATTTTTCATATTTTTCCAAGGTTAAATAAAAGTCAGGTGAACTAAGTAAGTGATAGAATGATAATATTATTTAAAACATCTTAACGTGAGAGTAAGTTTCATTTTAGTTTCGCACAAAAACCCGGTAATAAAACCTTTTTATAAATTATGTTTCCCAATCAGAATCATCATAGAAGTGTGGAAGTTTAGAGTAAATTTGAAATATTTATTACATCTTTAAGAAACGCTGGGAAGCTATTAGTAAGAAACCATAAGCTTAGTTAGCCCTCAGAATGACAATATTTATGAATATTCAATAGTCCTACTAGCTGGAACAATCACGTATTTTTCAAAGATTCAGTTTTCATTAGATTTATATTTACAGTGATGGATAAGATTGTAGAGTTCATGGGGCTAACCGGTAAGATGGAAGAAAGCGAAGCGTGAATGAACTTATTAAATATTGAGTGAGTTAGTTGCTTAATCAATTATACCTTAAGATAGCATAAGATATTATTACCAACTGAAATAATCGGTGATATTCAAAATAATCTAGTTATTCATGATGATATTGTTTAGGGGGAGATTGAAGTAATATATTTTCTTCTATGTAATCTTCCGGAAAATAGTAAAATAAAATAAACCATATAAATGATTGATATATGTTCACCAACAATAATTGTCTGTTCCAAGATAACGTTTTCATTTTTTGGGCATTCATGTTTTGATAACCAGTACTTATAATGAAGGAGAATTACAGGAAGTGTACGGAATAAATATTAAAATCCAGCGGAAACGTGATACGTTTATGTTCTTGTCAGTTCACGAATGAACAGTTTATGTACGTCGTACGATGAGATTACGTAAGATTTGGACATGATACAACCTGATAAATGAAATAAAAACATTCAAAACCCATCATTTTTTATATTCATGGGTGTAGCACTAAGGTAGATTGACTTATGGAAAAGTACCGAACAAGATTAGTAGGGAAATAAATCGTACGTTGAAATCTGAAAAAATTTCTTCCTAAATAGGAAATACTGAATCACTGGTTACCATAATATGGTTGCTAATAACAACAAAAGTCCAATAACTTCTTGTATTTTAGTTACATTATAAACTGTCATTTATTTTCGAGAAAAGCCCTAGTAAGTGAAAGGAAATTCAGGAATCCTAAGTCAGATTTCCAGTACTATAGAAGGCAATTGAAATTAAATAATTAAAATTTACATTCAAATCAATGTACGATTTAAGAAAGTTTGAGAGGCAATAAACATTCTATAGAATGATTTTGTATGGAGAACTTTCCTGCGAATGAAATTTCCAGAAACTCTATTTCCTATGGATGTAGATATGAAAATAAGTATAAATCCCTTGGTATTAGAAAAACAACTCTTTAGATTGAAGAAGCTTTATATGTTTTGTAATCTGTGCTATTTAAAGAAAGACGTCCAAAATTTTGTTTTCATTATTAAAAAGTTCAGTCAGTGGATAACGTAAGACAACTTGCGTTTCATTTGACAAACCATGAGAACAAAACAAAATAAATGTTTGAAGAAGATAAGTTCAATAGCACAATTTTATAACTTAGACTGTAAGTAACCCTATGCGATTTGATTTTAATTTCACTTGGTTTCGATCAATTGGTTGATGAAAATTATTATACTGTCAATTAATTTATCACTAAGCAAAAGTCTAATAGTAAATATAATCATTTACGGAAAGATGGCTCTATTTTTTATAAGAAACATACTATTGTGTAACAGTAACACTATCATATCTTGATCATCTTAAAATCTAGATTACCATTCGAACAATACAAAAGGTTACTCGTAATTTATATCTCATGGTATCAGCTGGTGGCATGGACGTGAACACAAAAGATGCAAGTAACCAATCAGTGAAGCATTAGGCATGTTATAGAATTACTAAGATAAAACAATGATATTTTCACCTAAACAATTCAATACTCAACTAAATAATAGATAGCTCAGTCAAATTTTGAAAGGATAATTTACTATGGTGATAAAGCATTTAATCTAAACTAATTCCGTTTATAAGCTATGTGACACTGACCTAAAAGCAGTGGTTAAAATGGCTGACATAATTCAAGATAAACTGAATTTAAAAACATTATAATTTTGCATTCCTATTTGGATAACTGGTGTATCGTTGGACTTTTATAAAGTAAGAAACGTCATTCATTAACTAGTTAGATTTTGTTCTATCGTTGATCAAGATGTATGGTAAATTATCTTCCCATTAGCTGGATGAAACAACCGAATTCATGACTAGCTTTTATACATATGTACTGCATGCGTATACTTAGAAATTCTTTGGATAGAAAAATTTTGTTATACAAATAACATGTGATTCTTACGTAACTTAAAATGTATTCTGTGTAGTTTGTTTTGTATAAATTTTCTGAACGTGAGCAGGTGCTTCTTCATTTTTTTTAAATTTCCGTTTTATTTTTTAACTCTACTTTTTAAACTACGTTTCTCGTTGCTGTCAATGTAAACTTGGGAGAGAAATTACTTTCCAACATTGAATATTGCTGTCTCTGTTAAAGATTGAAAGAATAATTCTTTTGAAAATTAATACAATTAAGAAATGGTAAAGGAATTAAGAATGTCGTGTTGACAGAAGATAGTTGTTCACTTGGTAGACTTCATGTTTTCTGAGAGTTTCGAGACATCCAATTTATTGAGTGCTGTAACTAATAATTACGTGAAATGACATTATCTAGCCATCCGTTCAGTTAAAGGGCAAAACAAGTAAATAATTTATAGTCCATTCAGTCTAATCTTGAAATAAACGTGACTTCCCTAAAGCACTGCCATAGAACTAAATTGCAAAAAATTATGGCGAATAACACATCATGGAAATATTTATGAATAAATACAACAATAATCTTGTTAAACGACGTTTCAATTATAAGTAAACATTTTATTACCGAATTTCAAAAATGAGATTCGAGCGATAAATGAATCATACAACCGCAAGAAAAGCTTACCGCCATATTGCTTGCCATAAAGCCTTCCTCTGGTTAAATGATTCATATAATCTTTACTATTAAATCCGCATTAACGGTGATGAGATCAAGCAATCTGACTACTTTATCTGATTAATAGAAAAATGTGGTGGTATGCCTTGATTTCGCCTTGACTTTTACTAGTAGCCTCAGACTCATCCTTTTCAATGTGATATTCAGAGACTTCAGCTAATAATATCATATCAAAACTAGCCTCAATATCAAGAAAATCTGTGACGCTTATTTTCACAATAATTCGATTATAATTGAATAAACTGACAATAATTGCTTGTTAAACGAGCATTATAAGCGTTTTCGAATATATGTAACAAGTAGTAAGAATCTAAAACCAAACTGATGATTTATCAAAAATCCGAATTCTGAAAATCATACTCTTGACAGTGCAAAGTGAATGTCTATAACTATTCAATCAGAGTTTTCTCTAACACGAAATAATAAAGATGATTTTGAGATTGTTATATATTTCATTTGTTATCCAATGACTGAAACTAATTAAAACTACCTCATTCATTATTCAAGATAATTAGTCTACTCAAAATTATATTGGTAAACTGTCTTTTAAAATTTTCTATTTTGTAATCCATTAATCATAAACAGGTTTTTTGCTATTTATTTTTCTTGATGGAAAACTTTTGAAACAAAATTATTAAAAAAAATATAAGATAACTGAAAAAGTACAAATCTAATCCGAATAGCTGGAAGGCAGATAATCTGTCAATATAGTTTAAGATCAATGATAAATTTTGGAAAATAGCAAAGTTTAATATACTGATTCAAGTAGCATAACAAAATTGTTAAACTTATTCAATCGTTAGACTTTAAGAGCAGAAATGAGTGGAACTGATAAAATAAAGGAAGGTAAGCAACAAAGTTAAGAAAAGAAAGATGCTTCTTTAGGGAACACTATTCCATTAAAACTATTTTTGACCAGATTGTTTAGTTGAGTTGCGTCATTTGTGTTATTTGTCCCATGGTAGGAAATATTAACCACTTTTTTAATTAATAAAACTAATGCATACAAGTAGAATGGTTCTTTGTTACATTATATGTTAGTTATTATCATTACCAACTTTAGTTTCCATCATCATTTTTGAAATGGAACTTACATGTTAGGTTTAATAATTCAACTTTCCTTGTTTAAAAACTGCATAAATGAAGATTAGTAATGATGAAAGTTCTCATTACGTTTTCAAACATCCAACTATCCACGCATCAATAAACCGTTAGATATTGTGTACAATTATTGAAATGGTGTTTTCAAAATATCAGTCATACTTTTTTTTAAATTAACCACTAGGAAAAGGATATAATTTTATCAGTACATATACATCTGTTGATAAGTGTATTTACAAACAGATTACTATGAAAGATATGATCATGTATTTTGTATTGATCACTATGAAGCAATCCAATATCTGATAATCAAGTTTAATTTAAATATGTATGCATTCAAATAATAAAAACTATTGAGTGGTTAAATAAAACAGTGCGCGAAAAAAAAACTAAAAGCCAAATGCACTCATGTTAGATGAAACTAATTGAATGTGATTATCAAAACACAAAACTAAATACACAAGATAAATTATCGTTTTAATTTAGTCACTTCACCAAAATTTTTGTTAGATCATTGTGATATAAAGGATTATTTTTAACGAATGTAATTAGTTTTTTTATTAGTAACTAATTTATAGATGAAAAGGCATAGTAAGTATAAAGAAAAAAAAGCGGTAATTACTTAGCGCTTAACCTAATCAGCACTGTTGTAAACGCCCAATGTTTTAACTACTAACCTTTGATTCTTTCACGAGCTCGACGGAATTTATCCATGGATCGTACAACTGCTATTTCTAAATTTAAGTATAAATTATATTATTATAATCGTTTAAAATTATATTTATAAGTCAATAAATGGAACGTGTTCATTATTATTTCGTTTGATATGAAAGCGTTTAGTTTATGAACGTTTTTGTAGCGGATTCCATAGTATTTTAAATGACATAACTGTTGTTAAATTGAATGAATTTAATGTGAAATTCTAAAGATGTTTGTTAGTTTATCATAAGTAGACAGAGAAAGTTGTATCATCATAACTAAGGTTTTTCTTTTAACAATCACTGGTCTATGAATATTTAGCAGAAAATGAAAGGTTTGCATAATAAATGTTTAATGATTATAGATGTATTTAAATTGTGAGAAATTTTCACTTCACCATTTAAATACTGATAACAGTTCCATTTTTTTATGTAGCAAACTACTTTAATTATATTGCTGAGTGCATATTCTTTTTCAATCATGGATTTAAGCCCTGTAAATGAGATTGCAAAACAAAATTATAATGACTTGTGTTTTATTTTTAAAGCTAATTTATTATTGAGGATTAAATGACTTGTCAAAGATGAATGAGATAAAATCAATAAAAGTCGCCATCTATAATCAAAAATATAATGTAAAAAAACAATTATTCTCATAATCCTCAAGTGGAAAATATATAATTTTCATTGATCTACTAAAAAGATCATAAATTGAAGCAACTAATGAATATACCATCTTGTTTCTGGTGGAGTTTTGTTCTCTGAGCTGATTTCATATTGAAATCAATCCAATTTATCAACCAATCAGAAAAATCATGCACAAACATAAAAACAAAAACAAAACAATGGGAGACACAACCAAAACAAAGAAGTAAACAGTGACGAATTTAAGGTCAATAAGAACCAATTAACATCGAGGTGCACAGAACAAGCTTTGAAACACATATGGAGAAATTCAAACACTTCACTTCCATTTTAAGTTTGTGCTGATGATGTCGTTCAGAAGGACAATGAAAGCTCCACGACCAAACCATCCAGCTCAGAGAACAAAACTCCACCGAAATCATCCACCTGAGCTACAAATCTTCTCCACCATCTCACCATCTTGTTTTGAAGAAAAGTGAATGTCAATTCGATAAAATTGTCACATGATAGCAGAAACGTTATAGGTTAAAAATGGTAACAAAACGTATAACACGGTTGTTTTTTTTAATTGGCATATATAAAAAGTGGAAAATGAAAAAAAAGCCTAGTAAAGACTGATAGTTTTGAAGAAGATCTTAGGAGTTCATACTGATTACAGTAAAATATCATTATCTGATTACAAGCAAGAAAAGGTTTGGTACAAGTTTTTTTTAAAAAGTGATTAAAATGCAAAACTTTATTTAATATTGTTTATATTTTCTACAAGAATAGCTTGAACTTCTAAATAGTTACATAAACCAAAATTTCAGTTTAATGGGTTCTATCAAAAATATGTTTGGATTAAGTAAAACCAGATAAGAAATTTCATGTTCATCGTAGAAATGTAATAATCTTCATCATAATTTAACAATTCAATTTGATTAATTAAGATCAATACATATTTAACGTAGTTATGAATATGGTCTCGAGTTAAGTATTGTAAATACTAAAATTTTCACAGTAGTACAGGATCTTTCTTTCACTAAGTAATGTGCTTACTCTCGAGTGGAAGCCTGTCTTTTGGCGAAATTCTCCCATTTTCGAAAATGTGCTTGCTCAAAGATTATATATTTTGTGATACTCTATAAATATTTAACAAGCCCATGAAGATGTGATTACTCTGAGTTTAAAACGAGTGTCATACAAACGTGCTCATGAATAACAAATATATATAAATATAGCATTATGTATCATAATATTAACCATCCAATAGTACGGAAAACATTTCGAGAAGGGGTTTATTTTAAAGACAGTAAAAACAGCATAAAAATTACACTCAATATGTGTGTTCCTGAAATATATATTATGGATTCTTAAACAACTAGCCGTCTATAATTTCATTTATTTACATGAAATGTGATGTAAAAGCAGTCTTTTCAATGTAGTAATTGTATTAGTATCAATTGGTATTGAGTATTTTTTCCACAAACTTATAGATACACATGGAAAGTAAGACCAATGGAGGTAATCGATTCTTAACAAATAAGTCATTAAATGAGATAAAAATATCATAAAGAAACTTGTTTCCCATGTACTAGGTTACGTACTTGATTTCTTATAGAATTGCTCATATGAGGTTTAATGTTACCTGGGTGTTGATGATATGAATTCACAGAACTCACACATGTCGTACAAAGTAAAAGCTCTGTAGATAACAAGATTATGTTTTTATGTTCACGAATAGATTTTTTCCCGTTTCTCAAGTAATTTTCATGAGCTTACTGTCATTTTGATATTTTACGAGTAGTAAACGCAGACGTGAGATGAAAATATACTTCTTGAAGTAAATATCCTTTTGTATAAAGATACCGAGGAAAATGTCATGTTTGTAGGTTATTCCGTGTTGTACCGGTGTGTACAATAATTTATTACATGTAAATACATCAACTGTCTTATACAAATACTTTAAATGGATCTCAATTTGTAATATTACTTCGTTCTGTTTCATTCAAACTAAACATTCTATCAAAATGATTGAGTGGGTTTATCAAAGCCTATACTTGTCATCTCAGTCTCTATTTGAAATATGTGCATTCTATGAGGATTACAACAATTCCGGAATCAAATCACAAACATTACGAGCAGAGATGGAATGTGATTAAAGACTAATCAATCATAATTCCTAACATCAGTGGGATGATTCAACTAACTGACACAAACAAATTAAACTCTTATGCTGTTGTTAATTTAGAACGTTCGAGGTGATAGTTCAACTGTTAATCTACGTCATGTACTGGCTTCAGCTAGATGAGAATTGAAGACCAGAGTGTGCTACCGGATAGCTGTTTTGTCACAATATACATCTAGCTAAGAGGCCCAGAATAAGACGAAACGCGTGTCCTGGATTCTACTGCTAATCACCATTTATCTCTGCATTTAATCCTTATGAAGTGAAGAAATATCACACCAATCCGCACAGAATTTAAATGTGCCAAAAATTGACAGGCCAATTTCAGTCCTAAAGATCAAAAGGAAGATTCAAATAACCAATACAAATGGTTAGTTCAAAATAAACACTACTCAAACACGTTTAAACATGTCTTATTTCAGCGATGGCATTTCATCGTATACATCGAAAAAGAATTCATTCATGAATGTCACACTAAGCTGACAAACTCCAATAGCACAATAAAATGTTTGATGGTTTCACACTATATACCATTTAGTTATTCAACCAGTAGTACATTTTCATATTTCTTCAATATTTACTGCTTTCTTTTACTAATCTCCATTAATCTGGTATTACGTAGGCACATTAGTTTGAAATGGTTAATACTATTGTTTCTCAATTGTAAGCATTTACATAGAAAACACGAAATGAAAGAGCTCATATTATTTCGTTAGTTTTGCCTGATTGAACCAAATATGATTAAGCAATATTGATGACAATTATTTAAACACTTATTTAAATCAAAGAATTACAAAATAATTAAATCGTGATTCTTGGTATACCATTTACATAAATATTCAAACGTTACAATAAATGATTAATGCTGAGATAACACTGAATTCAATTTTTCATCAGTCTGTTGATTACCCGGAAACGGAAGTGAATTTCTGTTTAATATTTGTAAAGAACTCTGTTAAAAAACGCAAGCGAATGTACATTTGTTGATTTTGTTATTTGTGAATGAGTCATTAAAAAGTTAATAGACAAGAAAAAAACAAGAACAAAACAGAATATTATACAATCAGAAAAAGTGATTCTCTTGAGTTGGAAAGATTTTTAAAACAAATATATTTTGATTTATAAATGTTTATAGTTATAGGTATCATTGAAACCTCTTTTGTCATTTCTAAACGAATTCTACATGAACTGCTAACTAAGCACTAAAGTTAAAATATATTCAGTAGTATTCGTTAGTTAATTAAAAATCATGATTACTGATGTTTAAATCTCACTTTCACCGTTATCACTAAAAAACAGGTTTGAAGTTCTTTTTAAAGTTAATTGTTAACTGTAAAATAGAATTTCGGCCAACTACTGTTCAATAAAAATCTATTTTAAAGAAATTGGAAAACTAACTACTAATATTGACAACATGAACACGAAATAGTAATTCTTAAATAATTTGATATGCAATTGAAAAATCAAGTTTGAAAATATTCTTTAACATCACAATAAGAAGGAATATCAAGTTGTAATACCAGACATTTTTCAATTGATTCCATTATCATTATATGTCAATTATAGAACTTTCAAGAGAAGTTCAAACATGATCTATTTGCAAAGGAAACCTAGAATTTTAAAACCTATCGATAAGCAAATATGTCAGTTTTCAATATTCGACATCACAACTTAACATTTTGATATTTGAAGGTTAATGAAATCTTTATGTTATTTTAATCCATTAAATAAAGTATAAAGTGAAAACAATCTGTTTAACATACTGGTTATGATTTAATAAACTTCACAAAATTTCAGTAACTGAGTAATTTAATAAAAAGTTAGTAAACATACAGTCTTACCATCTTTGTCAATAAGAACTGGTTCACCAAGTTGTATATAGAAATATTCTGATTTCTCATAATTATTATCATCCATTACTCGAATACGAATGACACCCCTATTTTAAAAAAAATTCAAAGGAAATTACCGATAGAATATATTTCAAAAATCTCATTTAAATATTTAATAAATGTGCTACATATGACTTTAAAGCAAATATTTTTGTTTGTTTAATCTCAATTAATTACCAAAATTTTAATTTAATGTTGATTTGCTCATTGACAATCAACGTCTTTTACCGAACGGCATAATCATTTTCATCTTATTACAAAAAGTATTTCAAAGCATTTCAGTTCTTATACTATGAATCGACAACAATATTTCCCTGGTCATGAATCAAAAATAAATTTTTAAATAACCGGTATCTAACCAATAATCATAAGATCATAAACACGAAACTACTTGAAAAAAAAGTTATTTTCTCCCTATGAATCGCATAATTGGTAAACATAGTTTCAATCTTTGAACGTTAGTGTGATAACGCCATATTAACTGATAGATTAAAGCGTTTCATCATGAAAGCGTCATGATACACAAAATATTCATCTCACTACGTAAATATTTTGATTTGTATAGAAAAACTAAACACTAAAAATGTTATTTAAATGATTGACATCAGTTGCGATAAATTTATTCATACCACAAATAGTAAAAGATACGTACAAATTATCGAAATAGTTTATGATCTACAACTTCATTTTCATTGTCTCTTGAATTATTTTAATGAATTGAGTTAATTAATAAGCGATTAAAGTACTATAGTGTACGATAAATATAGAATGTGTGCTAACATTTCATCATATGATATAATTTAATTGTCAAAGACAAGTTCCATAAAGTGGGACAATAACTTCAATACAAATGTGTGTCATGTGTCAAAAAGGCATATTGATTTTGAATGTAATAAGATAATTGAAAACGTTTATAATACCGTTAATGCACGAAACAATGTGCAACGAAAGGCTAATTTGTAAGCTAATCATAAAAAGATAAACAATATTGATAATATTTTAGTTAAGCCATCTTAAGGGTATAGAAATTTGTTTGGCTAGAAAATCGCAAGCGCTAATATGTTTAACATTCGTATAATTACTCGCAAACCATTTCACTCCATAATCTTTATTTTTTACGAATCGCATGGGCTCAGTGAAGTAATTCTTACCAAATATAACAGTTAGCTTATGTATCAAAAATTGTTAATAGATCCCATTACTCTAATATATCTCGTATTTTAAGAGAAAATTACATAAAGTATGTTAAGCCTTTTACGAAAGCGAAAATTAAATTCTATTATTCCTGTTAGTAATTCATATGGTAATTTAAGTGAACGAGTAAACTTTTCGTTTGAAAAATTGAATTTTCATTATTTGGTGTCGTAAATGTCGTAGGTTTTATCGTATTGCTAACTTTTTAACGGTTTATAAACAATGAAAAAAATTAGACTATGCAATAGAACGATTTAAATACCAGACTGCATAATGCAAATGATTATGAAAGTTTATGTATCTGCTGTGGGATGTACAAATTACAAAGGAAGTCGAATAGTGATGATCCGATATTGGATTATTATGTCAATAGAGTGCGATGAATAAATTGCTTTTTATCACAACAATCTAAAATTTCAGAGAAATTAAATACGACGATATCAAGAAAAATTACGAGAGACATCATGTGAATATGGTAAATTTTTAAAGACATGTAGGATAAGGGTACGGTAAAGATGAGGATATGACAGTCTGATTTAGTATAAAACATTCTTGTTTTATATCATGATTACCAAGAGCTTCAGCTGTTTAAAAACGTTGGATAGAGAGCCACCTTCTTAGATATGGGTTTATTTTACGAGCAATCTTAAAACCAACACGTGAGTTTGTCATGTGACTCATAACCTCTTTCTTCATGCCCTTGTCGAATCATACTGGAATATGCACCCTCGTCCGTTTTGGAAGCATGCTTTGATTATGGCCTATGCAATTTGTCCCTCAACGGCAAGTGAGATAACTGACACATATGAAAACGACCAGAGCTTATCCTTCACAGATACAGAAAACAGAGGCATAGTCGTAAAGCCAGATTATGAAGTTTTGGAAAATATATTTCTGTACTGATTCTTTGGTTTTTAACTTCATTCTTTCCCTCATTATATTTCAGCTAGAAACATATAAGAAATCAATCAAAATTTGTATTTTGTTGAGAAAATTAGTTTATTAAAAATAACTAATTAGACATTTTCTCACCAAAACCGTCAAAAAAATGAAGGTAAGCATTATTTTATTGGAAATATATCAGACAAAAATATAAAATATTAACTGGCGACCAGATATATCTAGATGCTTCAAGAACAACTTATAGAAAATTTTAAAAAACTATTTTCTGAAAAATAAGCGAAAATTTAAAACAATGAAAACATTTTTCTGTTTTCAATGTCTCAAGTAGTACTTTAAGAGACATTTCAATTGGTATACACTTTTGATATGTAAATCTGCTTATTAACTTGTTGATAAATGTCTGAATTTTCATTTTTAATGAATGTTAAAAAGTGATATCACTTTGTTTACTATGTAAATGCATATATATATATATATATATATATATATATATATATATATATAATGTCGTCTTTGTTTTAAAACTCTCCAAAATGTACTATCGTTTTAAGTGAACCGGTTTTGTGTCTATCTGTCCATTAAGTTACTTGAATTGTTTATACAACCTATCAAAGTTAAAAAGACAATCTACACACTTGGGATTGAATTTGATACATTAAAAATATTAGGGACCTTATTGATTAAAGCTGAACAGGTATTAAAGCCAATCAAATGAAACATTTGTTTATCTTCTTAAATAAACATTTCGATGTTTACTACTGATCGTTTAATGTGTTCTTTTTCTGATAGAAAATTATAATCGAGAAAACAATAAAATGTATTCATAAAACCAAGATAGATATTATAAATAATAATCTATTTGTTTGGTTCCGTAATCTTACATTATAGAGCACCTACGTTCAGTAACTGAAAAGTTTAATGGTTAGAATAAATGATAAGTACATTACAAGAAACAAATAGAATAAACAACAATGAGAGATAATAATCCGACTAAAATGAAAAGAAATCGCCTAAAATAGAACAACAACCTTTCACATTATTATCAGATTGATATTACACTAAAATGTTAAAATTAATGAGACACCATAGTAAATGTTATTCGACAAAATGTAACCATAAATGTACGTTTTATTGAATTTATTCTCATGGTACTTTACAATTTACTATCGCTATGTAGACAATCAAATTGCAACTAATTTATTATGTTTTCATACCAGATTTCGAAAACCACAATGATCATTTTGGTTGTTTTATTATTCAATGTACCTGTCTTGGCATTATTGAATAGGTTAGATCATTTTATTAAAGTGAACAATTGTTTATGAGAATAGAGCGAAATCTAATAAATTCATTATGTTTATCGTTGCTATAGGAAGGTAGCGCACGTGAGTTTGTGAATATACAATGGGTTGTTTGTATTGATTTTAAAAGGTTAAGTGGAAATTACTTAGTAAATCAAATTATAGCCACACAAATCTCAAAATAATTAGATATCAGGAAGCAAAGTTATAATAGCACGCACGAACAAAACTATATCTAAATAACATTAAAAGCATAAGTGATGATTGAATGAGAATATTTATAGGTCAAATGAATTAACAGTGGACAAATATGACCTAATATGATCTGTAACATTATTTGTTTAGCCTTTTTTTGAAATATATCATCTATTAATGACCACAGTTTACTTACTGTATCAAACATAATGAAAACGAATGTGTATTGAATTACAACAGATGATACAAGCAAGAAAATAATATATTAACTCAGAAATAGTTCATACGTTTTGTTAATATGATTCAACGATCAGTAATTCCTCAGCTCAAATGTAGGCCAAACATCTGCCAACAAACTTCAATAACTAAATAAACACATCCATTTAGTTCAGCTTTAAATATTTGTAGTAGAAATAATTATATTTTAAGGTTACCTATAAAGAAGGTTAATCGTACAATGAAAGCAATCGGATCTGTAATAATAGTATCCGATCACATCGATCTGTTAACAATATTACATAAACCGAAATAATTCGGCATAATGATATGAAAATATCACACTTGCTAGGAATTCTGAAGCCTAAGTAAATCGTCGTCACCTATCGCTAATCAGTTTTCATCAAGAAAAATTTGCCCATCCACCTTTTTCAAATTTTTAAATGTTTATCAGCAGTTACCTATCCGTAGTGAAAATTACATTAAGATAGATAAATATTCAAAATAAATGAATATCAAATGAGGATGAAATTCATTGAAATCCTATTTTTCACTTAAGATATTTAATGTTATTACTGAAAAGTAGAAAAATACAGATTACATTGTTTACTAGTTTGTTTTTATTTCATAACTTTAAATTCAGTCACATGTTTGTAGTATTCAACTGGCATCAAATGGTTAAACTGTTTATATTACTCAAATTAAAACACTAGAAAATGTGAGCAATAAGTACAAATTACTAATTTCCCTTAAAAAATTAACCCAGAAACAGAATACCAGTTGCTTATTTAAAAACGACACAAAGATCAATAGTACGACAGAATTCAACTGAACTGATGGATTAGGTTAACTTCCTGTTTTGAGATAAATTCAAAATGGAACAGAATAAGTATCAGTATGTTTACATGATCAATAATTCCTAAAATTTAACAATTTATAACGTCATGATATTGTAGTTCATATCTTTGTACTTCGAACAGTTTCCAAGTAATATATATATATATATATATATATATATATATGAATATATATATACTAACGTTTAGGGGGAAATTCGTTGAGATTGAGAAAATAAACTATCTAGTATATGAAACAAACAAAAAAGTAGATCAAATTTAAATGAACGTGACTTTTCAAAAAAAATGATTTAACGGTTACTGAAAAAGTTTAATTAATGAAATTATTCCACATCAAATTAGTCATTGTGATGCACTAATCTCATCAAATAAAACAGTATT